ATATGACTGTAGGAAATTAAAATAATTACTGGCAAATGTGTATTACATTTTGATATAGACCGAATGTTCGATTTAATTAATAACCCAGCACAATGTAAATAATTTATTATCATCGATATGAAATTTAGTTTTTCTAATTCCAAATTGGGATAATCTGCTGGCGTATTCATGCTTGATACTTTATTACAATTATTAATGAATTGACAAAATAATTATTCTAGTGGAAAGACAATTATGTGGTTATTTCAATTTCAAGTAGTTAATTCAATCGGATTTAAATTACAAAATACCCCACAGCTAATTTTATTTAATACATTTCCATACAGGATGTTTTGATTTAAGGTGTTCTTAAAACATAGCGGTTTTGGCGAACAAAAGATAACAGAAGTTTGCAGAAAAAATAGCACGAAACAACAATCCAGAAACAGTTTTCTTCAATTGTTAGTTTCGGTAAAATTGTTCTGGGAAAAGACGGTTCAAGGTGGATATATTTTGGAAATATTGACTGAATACTTGAATACTACCACGCAGACTGGGTTGTTAAGTCCAAACCTATATTGAGATATATTGTACGATTGATATTATGTCTAAATGATGATTTATTGCGGAACTATATGAACTGAAAACATAAATCAGAGTTAAACTTTCCATTAGTATTTAGCGTCACCTACGCCGTGTAATGCCTGATCTATGAGTATTCGTTATTTCCTCATGTCAATATAAATATTGCTGAATTAAAGCCCATAAATAACAGATTTAAAAGGCATTTTACTATTATGACTATAATAAATCCTGATTTGTTGTCATTTCGATTTTAATACTCACTGAAACATTATTGGATTCATATTTTCTTCCAGATAGAACGGTGCAAGTAGAAGTTTTGTTGGAAAGCGAATTAAATAAATTCTAGGGAAGCACCAAGAAATACAAAATTCAAACAATTTATTTGATAATGAATTACTGGGTAAATAAAATACGGTTGTTTCCAGAGCAGCTGTTTTAATTTATTTATGCCATTAAGCATAATCCAGAGTACAATTCCACCCATCAGCAATTATTAGTTCCGAGTAGCATGCTTTGTATGTTTGCCGAATGTGAATAAACACTGTATAAGTAATAAGCTGAAATAACAGATATGAATGCCATTTGCCTAGCCAACTCAACCTAGCCATATTTATTTAAATCATATAATTTGCAATTGTTTTTCCAGCTTAAAGTTCTGTAGAATGCTGAAGATGCATGAGAGTAGTTGTCTAACCCCGAGGTTTCAATAATCATTTTTTTCGATCAAACCCTGTGACCTAAAAACATTGGAACTGATGGATATTCTGCCGGAAACAACTACAGAAGCGTGTGCAGAAAGTGAAACTGATCCATGATGTGGTGTATGGGATTTTAGATAAATATTCGTATACACTGGGTGAATAAAAATGCGCATTTTAGGCCAAAATTTGCTTTTTTACACCTTTGGGTCTGACTCTGTTTAAGCAGCTAATACTCTGATCTTGAAATAAATATTTAATTTTGAGTAACACCTTATCTATAACCTGTTAGTGTAAATATGAAATGAGCGTCATTTATAGGTATTTCTTCCACGTGAAAATAACGTCGGGTCAGTGTTGAAAATTAAACAGTTTAGAGCTGAAAAAAGGAGCAAAGAGAAAACTTATTAAAAATCAATGTCTAGTTACTTTACAATCAGTGTCGTACCCAATTGCGAAAATTACTGGAGGGAAATTTTCCAGAAAATACTTAAGCAGGCGTAAGATAAAGGTAGCAAAAATATTCTTAAGCAGCTGGATTCTATTTCCGAAAGAAAAGTTTCTCATTGTATCCAAAAACGTCCACAATGACAAAAATCTACATACTGGTACGTTCCAATGTGTAAAACTCTGTTAAAAATAAAAATCTCTCGAAATTTTTCTGCTAAATTTAATGCGATATGGGTGGTAACCACGGACAGTTTCCGGTGGGTGTACTAAACCCTAAGCTAGCTGCAAAGTAAACATGAAACTATAAAAAAGCCCTAACTTTCAAGGGCTGATGGAAAATTAACTTCGTGAACATCCTACGTGGCGTTCTCTGTAAATATTTTCTCAGGAAACTTTCTTCTACTAAATTAGAATGTAGGAGGAAGTTCATCTCAGGTCATCAAACTTCGGCGCTTCAATATTGTTCCAAAAGCTTGTGGAGTGTTTTATAGATTCACAGCCAAATGTAAGTAATTTTCGCAACTGGAGAAGTTCTACTTGCTCAAAGTTATTAAATTGAAAGTGAGATATTAAGGCAAATATCCACAATATCTAGCGAGGCTTTATTGAAACTCACACCCTTGACAACTTTACTTCGAGCTATAATTTTCAATTTAAGATAAGAGGTAAGAAAAATGTTGCTATACTCCTCAAAACGCGTTCACATATTATGTAATCAGATTTTCATAAAATAAAATACTGTTCGTGACACAATCCATTTTCGTGCCAAAGTTCTTCACCGGAGAACCAGAAAGAAAATAAATAACAGAAATTTCCTATTCAACTTTCCAAAACTTTTCGCATATTTTATTCTTGCCCTTTAGAAGTAGTTCGTGATACACTCATTCTTGTCTTGCATCTTTAGTTAGATGCTTTTATTTTTCACGGCGGTTTAAATAGTTAAAGTTTCAGTGGAAAGTGTTATAAACAGGAGTTGTGAATTTACAATTTTTAAACTCAACTATATCTGATGCAAAATATTTGAAAACGCTTAAAGTTGGCGTAGTGAGTGCACTTGTAAGTTTGACAAGCAGCAGATGGATCGGTTTTTTTTCGCAACTAAATGGCTTTTTAAACTTTTCCTTTTTCCAAACAAGACCGAACTCTATATGATCGATTGGCTTATAACTGGTGGTTGAATTGCTTTATTGCATGTTATGCATTTGATATGATGTCAAGGTATTCAAGCTAAAAAACACCAGGAAAACTAAGAATTGATTAACATGTATGTGGTTTGTTTGAGTTTTTGGGCATAAGGTTGGGAAAGATGATCGCTTAAGTAATTTAATATTTTTTCAAAGATCGCGATGGTCAAAATATCGGACATAAAACGGCTACATAAATCAAGTTTTGCATTCTCTCGAATCAACTTGAAAATAGTAAACATCCGGTTAGGACTGGACCCTTGAAAGCGGCCTGAACTTGACCCTTGAAATTTACAGCCCGAACAAGCTGTTGATAACACGTATTTTTGGGCATAGTTTCGGTTAAATATTTATTGTGAAATTTGGCCATCAAAGAAGTGGTTAGAAATGACAAAAATTACAAATCTTTACTCCTCTAGAGAGTATATGAAAAATAATCTTTCAGCGAAAAACCATAGAGAGTTTGCTCAGAACTTTGCCTTCAAACGTTTCAAGTTGTATATTTCCGAAATGGTTGAAATCCAGTTCAAAATTTTCATTTCAGTATAGTTTCAATACCCTAAAAGTGATACCGTTCGTTACTTCAAGGAAATCCTAAAATTTGCAAAATAATTAATGCTCGAACCTCACTTAGTATCACAAATTAGTCGGTTAAGAATCTTTTAGGCAAAAATGAGATTAGCTTTAAGAAGCCTTCAAATTAATTAAAGTAATATATTTCATAACCGAGCGGTATTAAGGGTCTTTTCGAAAGTTCATCTCAAAAACATAATTTCCAAAGTTAATTTCATAAAAATTCCCAATCTTTAAAAAGCTAGAAGCAAACATGTGAAACTTTAAGCGAGCCTCGGGGTCTCAAAGGGCCTATATGGGATAGGGTCAAAGTTATTAATTAAGCCGTAACCATCATTTTGCTGAAGCGTTTTCAGAAATGTTAGGAGTCAAAACCCCAAATGTCTAACTTTAATTATAAATTATTAGAATCTTATTAGTTTGATAGACAAATTTTTCATTCTCAAAAAGCTTCGGAAGCACCATTTTTCAATCGGTTGCTACTATTTAACAATTATTCAGGACAAAACATCAACAGTCAATAATTTTACGATCGCTGACATTACTACTAGAGCACTAAATTCCTTCAGTCTCATACCGAAACTTGCATTTTGGGTTATTGCAAATATTTTAATTGCCGGTTTCACTTAGCGAAAAAGACACGGTATAATTATGTAGTGATGAAACGGGGATGCGAATACTAAAATTGTTAAATAATGGCCACAAGAGTACGAATCCCCTTTTTTGCTAAAAACTCTCTAAAATATTAAAGCAAACAACACAACAAGTCCATTAAGCGCTGTTAGAGCTGCTTCAAAAATAATAAGCATTACATGGGAATGTGGGAGCAGAAGTAATGAAGTAACTCAAGAGAATTTCAGAAAAAATAATTGTAAATGTGAAGAACCCCGTCTTCATTCGGACTCATTTCAATAACGGTTTGAAATAATATTATTTAAATATTGTAAAAGTTTCAAATGTGAAATTAAAATTGAGCGGTTTTTGTCGATTTAATTATGATTCCTTTATAATACTAGAAGCTGGACTGACCGACTCCAATGATAGTGGTATTGACAATCAATACAGATAAAACGTAAAAGGTTTTAAAGCAATGAACGTTTTTAGAGAAATCTAAGTTTCTTAGTGCATTACATTGTGCGAGACTGCATGTTCAAGCTTCACTCAACAATATACTCTCGTTTAGAGCCCGGTAGAATTTAAGCGGGATATAAATAAAAGTTTTATCCGGAAACCACGGAAACTATTCCGATTGCTGGTTCCATTAAAGTAGTACGGAATGGAAAGTCAAAATTCTCAGAAACTCGCAAATATACGATAGGTTTTATCTGCCGAGTAGGGGATTACTCGATAAATTATTGCTCTTAGTGCCGCTGTATTAACATGGTTTAATAGGAGAAAGTTTGATTGGAAATATGAACTATTGGTTAAAGCTTTAGTGTTGACTTATTAGGCTTTATTTATTTTTGATGTGTGATATGCAAATAATTTCATTGATTTATTGTGGTTTAAATATGCATAATTCTTGTTTCAGAATCTTGGGCTGGATATTACGAAAAAAAGCTTCTGCATAAACTACTTGATACTTACAACGTGTTAGAACGCCCGGTTGCTAACGAGTCAGATCCGCTCCAACTAAGTTTCGGCATAACGCTGATGCAAATAATAGATGTGGTAAGTTTTCACCTTTTTCAGCCCACCAAGCAGTTTAAACCATTCAGCTTGAAATAATGGCGCGACCTCACTAATTATGATAAAATATTGAACTTCCGGAAATTATGAAAATATGCGGGTTAGTCTTTGTCGAAAGTTCCACCTGAACATTTTGGTTATTATCTTCTCATCTTTCCCTATTTCACTAAGTAATGAGCCCTTTGGCTCCCATTTAATAGCTAAAGTATGTAATATCCCTATCGGCAAAGCAACATCTTTATTAAATTTTCTCCAACATCCAAAGATTTTACAAAATTACGTCAAGATGAAAATCATTACCAACGGAAGGGGACTGCGAAAAATTCAAATAATTAGTTCTTTGTATCAAGATTAAATATCCGCCTTGTATATTTTATGCAGTTAATCGATTTTGCCATTCCCACAAAAATTCTGCTGTTAAACTTTTTAATAAAAAAGTTAAAGCCTTTAGAGCTAATTCCGGAAAACAAAATTATCCTACCGGTATTAAAAAACGAGAAAACCCAGGAAAAATTACGCGGTTTTTAACGAACTTACTCCACTTTTGAACAATAAAATACAACATAGTACGTGTTTCTGCCTGCATACCTTTACAACATGCATTTTAAACAATAAAGCTGAAATTAAATTTCTTTACATACTCGTTAATTACGAAACTGTAAACAATTTTATTATTTTTCAACCAGCTGAAATGACTGTGGAGAAAAATGAAACAGTGAATAGTGAAGTATGAAAGTTTCACATTTATTGGCATGGTTTTAGAAAATTTATCACAAAACTTAAGTTAATTTTTGCGTTAAATGGTCACAGATCGGAAATATTTCGAGTGAATCAAGTCGATCTTCTTATTGTAAAAATGAAACGATGGAAATTATTATGTAGATAGTAATTGAAACAAACAATATTTTCAACTAGTCATTTTGAGCAAATAAAACCCGACAAGTTCCAAATATTTTTTGCAAGATGTCCATACTTCAACTTGAAGACTTGAAGAATCTGTTCAAAACTATCAACTATAACAAACACAATGTGCACAACAGGAAGAAATGCTAAGTGTTCAACAAGACTTAAGTTCTTCCCTTTGAACATTTTCAAGTCTTGTCGTTCTTCCTGCTCGCTTTCCATTATATTTCCGCAAGCCATCAGCATCTCTAGCTAGTTGAACAACATTTGTGGAACGTCTATGTGTTGCAAAGTAAAAGTTTTCCGAAAATATTAGAAGCTGCTTCGATGACACTTTCCGTAAATTAGCAACATTAATCGTTCTCTTCATAGCAATTGTTGTTTTCGTGTCTTTTAAACTTTCGGCAATTTTCCGAAATTTATCTTACTCAGTAAACCGCACGATATAAAGCCGAGAAATTCAAAGACAAATGTAGAAATAACAACGCCACAGAAGATATAATTCTAACTTTAGGACAACAATACCCTTGGATAATTTTAAAATTTTCGATGTCACTTCCTTATTAATTTTTTTAAAATGTGTTTGCTGCAATAAGTGTTACAAGCAAATGAAAACTAAAGGCTTTATATGGATTCGTACGTTTTAATTATTAGATTACTTCATTATTCTCATTGTAAATAACATACATTTAAAATGCAAAATATGCCCTATATGGGTTCAAATTTATATTTAATTGTAGCACTTTCTAATTGATGTATAACTCAATAAATTGATAAACAAAAATAATTAATTTTTGAGCCAATTAAACAATTCACAACAAGTTTATTAATAAAACGCTGTTCCTCCAACTCCATAAATTTTGAACAATTTGCTAAATAAACATTCGGATTACTGCGGTTTATATTAAAAACCGAAACTCTAATTTTGATAACACGCTCCCTTTTCTCCGGTATAATTGAATGCAGCTTATTTCTGGATTTTACTCATTTTAAATCCTGAAAGGGCTTTAAACTGTATTTTTCGGTTCGGTCGCAATAATTAGAAAAGAGCTGAGTAAATTCAGGATGTAATAACTTATTTAAAATGGCTTGACAACGGAATAATACAGTAGGGTTTCATTAATTGCTAAAATATATGTGTTTTCCTTTACAGGACGAGAAAAATCAGCTGTTGATAACAAACATCTGGCTAAAACTGGTAAGTAGAATTACTTTCTGAAAGAACCTACTTCACGAACTTTAAGAGCGATCGTAAATCAACACTTACATACAACCGACTTCTTCAAATATCCATTACGTCTTAAAATATATGGCCTTATAAATATCAGTATAGGAGTTCTTGTTTAAGTTGAGGATTGAGGCAATACATTTCGGAACGTTTTCAGAAACAAACTACGTTCTTATCTTGTGACAAACTGCGGGCCATTGGTTAAACTATTAAGATTTATTAGCTATTGGTGTGCGAAAATGTCTATTGACAAAATTGAGTTTATGAACGAAAAACTGCTATGCGTGCAATATATTTTCATTAAGACCGTCGTATCACACATTTAAAATGAACGAAATCGTGTTTTTGAATCTAATCAATTCATACTTTTGTAGCTTCCTTTACTGGGCAGTGTCTTATTCTTGCCACTATTGGTAATTTTTCAAATGGCGGTTATTCAATATAGGGTAGTTTTAGTACTCGAATTTGGAAGATACTGGAATATTCATAAATTGTAGCAAAATAGTAGCGTTTTTCAGTAGCAGTCAGATTAATTAATTTTACCTGCATGTAGTTACATTAAATAATCTATTACTACTACACTCTGAAATGATCATGGTCTGTGATTATTCTGCTCTGTTAGCCCCAAATAGGGAAAGTATCGATAAACCTGGAAATCACGTGCATGTAAATAAATATAGAGCCATACTCATACTCATATCACCGACATTTACCGATCACCCTTCGCATAGGAAAAGGTAGTGACCTACGAAACGTAATCTGTATGATTTACGACTGGTAATCTAATTACATGCTTTCAGTAATACAAATTTGTTGGTAATTTGTTATCTGGTGCGAGGAAAACTCATGAAAAGCAAAACGATCAAACGTGATGGCCTTATGATGGATATTTGACGGAAAACTAAATTTCTAAAATTCAATTCTGCAATTAAATTTATTTTATTTATAACAAGCATATACGCAAATTTATGAAAATTTAAATATTTACCTTAAAAACAAACAACTAAAAATGTGAACTCCATAACCAATGAAACCGGCTATTGAAAGGAAGGAATCAACGAAATAAGTATACGGTCTAATTAAACCTTAGGTACTTTATATATTTGCCAGATTTTAATCGCCTCTTTCCTTCTCTACTCAACTGCAATCAACAAATTCAAGTTGAGATTAAAATGGAAGTGAAATTCCTTTCATTCGAACTCAACAAGAGCAAAACTGAAATTAGTTTCTTGGAAATTCGATTTTCTCTAACCCGGAAAACTATAAGCAAAAATTCGTTTTTAAATTCGCTTCAAGCGGACTTGCGAACTGCAAACTTCTCGTTCGTTCGATAGAAAACTACGTTTCAATATTTTTGCATTAGTTGCTAGCTAATTCTAATAAAAAAACAGTCATTCAGAGCCACGCGTAAATATGCCAGAATCCGGAGCAGCAATATGAGCACAGTTTTATATGGAACGAAGTTTCTTGGACTGCGAGAAAATCAATATCTACGTAATTATATCTATTTTTCTGTTTTGCACAATTTCGCAGAAAATCTGCATTGAAAATGTTCAATTAAGTGGCAGAGAAGAACGAAATATGCTAAATATTTGGGTGTTAAAGAATATGGAAAAAAACAATTAGCCAAATGATTTTTACACAATTCATCATGCAGGACTTAAAAGATTAGCCTAAGCTTTCACATTTCTTTGCAAATTGAATTCATTTTCATTCTCCAAGTTACTATTGAATTATTTATGGTGAGAAGCTTTTAATTATTGGTATTAAATGTTCATCGGTTTATTAGTTTATGGGCCTCGATTTATTAGTTTATACAATCATGGAATCTGAAAATTGAGCATTGAGAATTCGACTTCAAAGCAATTGGAAGGATCAAATGGAGCTGTAAAAACACGAAGCTTTCCATGATTGTTAACTGATAAGTAAAAAAAGTTGTATTCTTTTATTCGGACAAGAGGGACTGGCGAAAATAAAACTCCTGGTTTTTAAAAGATGTTTTTATTGGTGTCCAACAAATTCTCAAACATAACTTTCTTGATTTTTTTCTGCGCTGTTTGGTATTTTTAACCACAATCTATTAAGAAGATCGTTCTAGGACATTTTGTTATACTTTTACTCTATTTCCATTTTCTTTTAGTGTAACCCCTTTTTGGAGCAGAAAATGTATTCTTCATGGCCTTAATGTATCTATCAAGTTTTTTTCAATCATTATTTGTATTTCGTCCAAATAAAAAAAGTTGCTTTTTATTAATTATTTTTTTTGCTGACTCATTAACAGAAAATTCATACGAGTGAACCTAATAATATTTTGAATAAAGCTGCAGATCTTTGCAATTTGTTCGAAAAAAAAACAAGTAAAGCGCAAACACGAATTTATGCCCCTCGTTTTGATTATTCACTTTTACCGAAATTGATCCAACTCTAATATATAATGTTCGATATTTCCCTCACGTAACGTAACACGATAATTTTGCGGGGTTTATCTTTTGAAGTGTCTTAGCAGGGAAATTGTAGTAGAATTGTGTACGCCTAATGTTAGTTTCTCTTCCCCTTTAACTAACTAATCTATATGCCGTCTGTAAACAGTACCGACAATTCAGAATAAGTTGGGCTCTGATGTTTCCGTGTGTCTCATCTTTTGTAATAAGGCCTAAATAGGAGCATTGTTAACGCCGAATTTAGCTACAACGTAAAAAAAATTGTGTCTTCAGTAAGGACAACGTTAAGTCATTATTGAAATGAGCAAAGGCAAAGTTGAAATACATTGCTGAAGTCAATCATTGAATAAAAATTAACCATTTACTTTCAAGCACAGTTTTTAAAATACCTCACTTACTATGGAGGGGAAGACAATATCGCGTTTAAAACTCCCGCTTTGATCGCTTGGGTTCGTTTCACTTTCATTCGGCAGAAAAACGGAACTAAATTCCTCTCGTTTTTTTCCGAAAACCATTAAGCTTTTCCTTCAAAACCGATCATAAAACTAGAAGTTTTTAATCGAGAACGCAAAAAATCATTATTTTCCGATGATTTTCTTCTTTCTGACCATAACGGGGTCTTTTCAGCCAAAAATTATAATATAAATCTTACTAGAAAATTCGTCCATTCATTGGTTTGCAGGGATCTTTAGAAAACTCATTTCAGCTTCGAATTTGGCACAAAAACTAAATAATTTAAAGTTCCTTTAAATTGTCAACTCATTCCAGTTTTTACAAAGTTTCTATTAAGCAATTCTTTCTACGCAAAAATCGCATTATTTTTTGTTTTACTTACAATACTGACAATGTTCAAGTATTTTATGTGAAAAATTATTAACAGTCGCCTCCTTAACCGCTTTGCAAACATTTTTGGAAAACTTTTTGGAGCTTCGAATTATGGACAAAACTCTAATAATTATCTCTGGATATTTTTTCAAAAACATTTCCCCGAACTGAAAAAGCTAAAGTTTATAATCATTTATCTGGAAAACTCTGGGAAACTTTTAGGTCAATATTTCTAAACAACATTGTCTCTAATACAGAAAAACCGCGTTTTTTTAATGTTTTACCACAGCTTAAATATCATATATAAGCTGTGGTTTTACTGTAAAATACTGACAAACTGAATATTTTATGCAAAAAAATTTAAAAACATTTTTTTAGATGTAAAAATTTCAGTCTTGAGTGTCGTAAAGCTTTAATAAATGACTTATAACTCATGAACCGATGAGTTATAACTGGTTAACTCAGAGAGCGGCAACAACTCAATAGCGCAACTTAACACAGTGTTACCCAGACCTAGTTTCACTAGCGAAACTATTTCCTATTCGCCAGACTTTTTTTTATCCTTATGTAGATTTTAAAATTTATTGCCGAAAGTTTCGAGCCGGTGCCAAATCAATAGTGACCCAAAACGACTTAATTCTACTCCAATTTTACTCTCAAGTGAGTTAAGTTGATGAGTCATAACGATTTTGTATGCATTGGAGCAGTACAAAATTCAAAGCGAGAAGAAATGGTGAAGTTTTGTTTTCATATGTTTACTTAGGACAAAAATAGAAAAAGAGAGCAATCAATAAAATGTGCATTTTCTGCTCTTTAGAGTGAACTGATCTTTACTGACCAAAGCAAAAATGATCTATCAGTCGATGCTCTCCCAATCTCTCCTAATTCGAACACACCTACTCATTGATGACTTTCTGCAAATACGTTGTACATTTTAGAGCCTTTAAAAGGGATTGGAGGAAACACATAAACCAAGTCTGTTTTTGTTCTTTTGCAGGAATGGAACGATGTAAATCTAAGGTGGAACTCCTCCGAATTCGGAGGTGTCAAAGACCTGAGAATTCCACCTCATCGTCTCTGGAAGCCAGATGTTCTCATGTACAACAGGTAAGTAAATCGTAAATTAAATCACGTCGCTGTCGCATTTGCCATCGGGGCTGTAACCAAAACGAGGGACATATAAAAACCGAGATAAGGAAAAAAGACCCAAGTAACCTAAATTCCTCTTCAGGTTTTCATTGATTTGAAATAGGGCAAAAACCGACAAAGCGTACATGTTTTATGTGTGATAATGGCGTAGACGGAGGCTTGCTACTAAAACTGTTGAAATAATTGAAGAAAAATGAAAATTGAATAATCATCAACCTTGTTATAACTGATGATAATCTTGACGTGAATACTTTTAAAAAGCTTTCAATTTGGCGACCATGAAAACTCATTTATAAAATTAAGGATGCTGAACTGAATGAGCGAACAAAACAATCTGAGAATCAATTGTCAATATGAAAATTAGGGGCGGATCCAGCTTTAAATTCAGGGGGGGGTGGTTATGTAGAAAAAATACAGTCTTCTGTTGTCTATGAAATTAGAAAAATTATCGTCGTTTTGTGCAAGGGTGGCGTAAGATTATTGCAAAATTT